TGTATATTTGCAAACACTTTATATATGATAAATATTTAAGTTCATAATAGTGTTGTTGTGCCAAACACCATTCTGCTCACTGAGGCTTTAGCAGTACATTAAACAGATAAAAATTCTTGCCTCCATAAAGTTTACATTTTATGATAAAAGTTTTTCAGTTCATATCCAGCATGTTACCTTTGTTTAAAAATGAACATTCACATATCAACAATAAGGCTAAAATATTTGCCACAGTTGTATGTCTATCAAAAATATGTACTTTCCCTTTTGGAGTAGAATTATGAGAATTATTGCCACCCAATAGGAATTCTATTTCTCAGACCTCATAACAGCGAGGGAGTGACTGTGATAATTTAGTCTCAGTGGGACATCAGTAGATGTACAGAACAAATTATCTTACTATTTTTACATTTATATATTTGTGTGTGCACATATCCCAGCACACAGGTACTAGGCAGAGGACAGTCTGTGAGAACTGGTTCTTTTCTTCCACCACGTGCATTCCAGGAATCCAGCTCAGGTCATCAGTCTTGGAGGCAAGCACCTTCACTGCCTGAGCTGTCTTGCTCAGCCACGTGAGCTTTATCCATGACGAGATTTTTATCTTCATTTGTTCCTTTATTGCTGTTTCTGGTTGAGTACAGATGGTCACAAGTCTTGAGGGATGTGAAGCCACAAGACAGAAGGGGACAGCCCCTCATTCATTTAGATAGGAAAGCAGGTCCCAAGGACTAGAGACTAGGGCTTTACTATGAGCAAAAATACACTACCATGTTGAACTACTAAACTATAGGGTATAGTTTAGCAATTAGAACTACCTTAATTTAATACACTCACCTTGCTAACATGGCAGGTGTTGATTAGCACCCTAAATATCTATCAAATGACTAACAGAATGAATATTCTTTTATCAAGAGTGGTATTTTCAATAGCAGCATCTGAATAGCTAATAGGAATATAAAATTGTGCTGAACATTACTAATCATGTAATTAAAGCCACAGTGAGATACTAGTATGCCACCACTAGAATGTGTAAAATAAAAGGCAAAATATAAAGTATTTGCAAATATATATACCAAAAATGAACTTCCATGTATTACTAGTGGAAGAGTAAAATAATACAGCCCCTAAATTTGATGTTTATCTAACACAGAACCATTGCTTTTGGTCTTTTACAATTATAGGCATGTCAGAATAAGAGAAGGAGGCAGCTACTGTTTAGCCTGCCAAAGGCCAAAGCCAGTGCCTCAGGGTAGTGTTAGATCCTGATGCCAACCCAGACCCAGACTTCATTGCAACCCTAGCTGTTGTAGAGTTTTTTAAAACTCTGAAGTCAGGGGGTTGGACAGACGGCTCATGTTAAGAGCACTGTTTGCTCTTCCAGAGGATCTAGGTTCAATTCCCAGTACCTACATGGCAGTACACAACTGTCTGTAACTCCAGTTTCACGGGATCCAACACACACGGTATACAGACATACAAGTAAGCGGAACATCATTTCACATAAAATAAAAATAGAAGGTTAAAAAAACTTTAAAAAAAAAAACATAAGTGAAGAGGTTATGTAACTAGTAGGAATAACTCTTGCTACCCTCATATTCATGATTCCTATAGTCCCTAGTGAAATTCTAATCAAATAAGGCTGATGAATAGGAGGTGATATGGTATGGGAGAATTATGTGCTTCCTCATTCAATATGATATTTAAGAGCTCAGTGGTTCAGAATCTTGCTTTAAATGTCCAGGTGTGGCTGTCTGTGGGAGAGAGAGCTGAAGACTAACAAAGAGTTTTGAGGGAGACTTCATTTCTTTCATGTTTAATGTTGTACCTTATGAACATATTACCTATTACAAAAAATGTGTTTAAATGCAATAGTTTATGAATAACTCCTAAGAATTGATTAGTCAAGGAAAACCTAACTACTGAGTTTGAACAAATTGCTACAAAGTCTCTCACACAAATTGGTGAATCTGGTTGCATAGTTGATCATTTAACTTACTTGTTAATTGTATTTGTACTGAAATCCTTCCCATGAGTTTATGAAGTTTTATAGGTGTTTAAGTTATAACGGTTACTAAAATCAGTGTTGAAACTGAACTAAAAACTGGACTTCCGAATCCCAAATTTCAAAATGAAAAAAATAATTCTAAAATATGTAAGTTTCTGTTGTTTCATTTGAAATATCAGAGTCGTAGTCATAATATACTAGTAAAATGTAATCTTCCAAAAGTTTCATTGAATGACTACTGCTGTGGGAGCTCAGCTCTCTCTGCCTGGCATTGTCAGGCCAGAGCTGCCTAGGATTCGGGAGTTGTCACTTGAGCCAAGGCTTTAATTTAAGGCTGACGGAACTGGAAGAGGAGGAGGGGTGAGGGAAACATTACAAAGCTAGAAGACACAGAGGGACCCGCCAGGGCTTTCTGGTGTCACTGAAGCAGTATTCAGATTAGTGTCTGCAGTGCTCAGCAGCACGGTAACAGAAGTAATTGTTTGTGTTGCCTCAGCCTAGTCCTAGGGAATCAAAGTTTCTGAGGTGGGGAGGCACGGGGCTCATTTAATCAAGTTCCTAATGACTGGAGGGTTTACTGAGACTTGAGAATTTCTAGCTCCATGTAAATGCTCTTGGTGATGTGTGTGTGTGTGTGTGTGTGTGTGTGTGTGTGTGTGTGTATTATAGTGACATGATAAAATGATTAAAATGAGGCAGTAGTCAGATCTAGAGAGAGAAATTAAGAAATAACAATTGGGGGACTGGAGAATGACTCTGAGGTAATCAACACTGGCTGTAGCAGAGGCCCCTGGTTCAATTCCCAGCACTCACACAGCAACTCCCAACCACCTGTAACTCCCTCCTTGCTTCTGCAGGCACCAGGAATGCATATGGTTCACAGACATACATACAGGCAAAACACCCTTGCATACTAAATTTTAGATTTATTTTAAAAGAAATATTCAACTGTCTATCAACTGCATTACCAATACTTAATTGTATTTAAATATTTGCTTTCAGTGAGAAAAAATTGTTACAAATGTAACTAGAATGTTTCAGGTCCATTCCTCTAAGTATTGGAGAGTTCCATTTATTTGAACTCTAGAAAAAAGACCAGAAGTAAAACTACAGTAATGCCAGATTCATTCTCTCCATGTACTCTAAAGTCAATGTACTTTGCGAACTGATTGTTTCCTGAACTGAGAAGGAGTTTGTGCCTGCCTCTCTTCTCTTTTCACTAGGCTCCACATCCGTTGCCTCTAGCACAGTTTTCAGGTAGGAAGCTGGAAATAATATTACCAAGTACTTATAGGCAGCTATTTCCAAAACAAATTGTGGTGCTCCTAATAATCATATTAATATTTTATGTAACCCCATTGTATTTTTGCCTCAACACATTTTATTCCAAAATGCCATATTCTGTGTAGTGTTACATGAATATGCTTAATGAAGTCTCAGTACAAATGTTGTCATTTTGTGACAGGGTGTTTTGTTTTTACATCTCCCTTGGGAGAGAAGATTGGGAAACGATGCTTCTGACTCAGAGTGCTTGGATTTCAGGAGTTTGCCACTATACCCAGCCCCAACACATATTTTAAAATTAGCTCAATTTCTCAACATTAATGCAAAGTAGATGAAAGGGAAAAAAAGAAATGAAAGGGATGAAATTACGATTAAATAATATGTATGATTAACTTTATTACAATGTAGTACTCAAGTGCTTGCACATGTTAGGAGACTCACCAGGAATGTGACCGTTGTGGTGCGTGTGTGTTCACACCCAAATACCATGAGTCACAGGGCCACTGAAGCGATAATCCAAAATGGTGAACAATTTTTGGTTCAGTGTTCTGGTTCCATGAAGGCTAATTTTCTTCTCATTAGCACAGTGGTTGAATTCCTGTAAAAGTTGGTGTATTATTAATATCCTACAGACGGCATTCTATATAACTTGGAATTAAATAGGGAGCTTGTTTTGAATACATGGACTCCTGGCCCTGATGGCCCGAGATTTTGTCCCCAGGAGTTCTAGGATAAGGCCTAAGATTCTCTTGGTGGCTATTGCGGGTCCTATGAATGCCTGGGAAAGTGGGTATGACTCACAGTAGTAGTATCAGTGTCTCTCCATTTCACACCCAACTGTTAATTTACCTCACCTATAAAAACGAGTATTATCACCTCCAGTACGGAAAGTCAGACAGTTTGTAAAATAAAATATATTCGCCATGAAAACTCATAACGATGACACTATTCCCACTTCAGAAAAATCTGACCTGGGTTCTATCGTATTTTCCAAAGTCCACTGTTTAAAAGCAAAGAAAGCCAGAAGGATTTTGGTTCTTTGGCTCACTACCCACCCACCTCCTTCCCAAACTAAAGGCAACAACTTCAAAATGCAACCAGATTCAGCCTCAGGTCTGTCCGAGATAATGGCACCGTTTGATGGGCCGCTTCACTTGAACTGGATAGGCTTGGCTGTTCAGCCCCATCTGATGCTCCTTGTGCTTCCCTTTTCCTTGTGCCTACCCGCTACCACCCTCTCTACACCTCCTGCAGGACTTTTTCTGTACTGCTAATCCTTTCCCTACTGTGGGTTATGTGGGTTCCTCGCCCCCGTTTCGGTCACTGTTGGCCTTAGACTTAACGTTGCTGGAGATCTCTAGCACTTGGCACTGAGCAGGCTCCTGTCCAAGCTTGGGAAAGGGGTTGGGGTCGCTCCCAGTTAGTCCAGCTCTGTGGTTCTGAGGCTCCAGCACTGTCCCATCTTGAGCTCTGGATCCCAACCTCCTTGAATCAGAGTGGTTAGCCCCCCCCCCCCATTCTACCTCCTGCCCCTCAGCATCCCGCCTCCTACGTTCACCCTCCAAGCATCAGGGCTGCAGGTAACGGACCCGCTGTCTCACCTGTCCCATCTACTACCAACTCACAGGATTTGGGGGTATTTTTATTCGGACTCGCAGGTCTGCTAGGGACTAAGGCCAGCATTTTTTCCTCTTAGCTTGGGCTATCCACCACGGGCTAGCTCGCTCCTAGCGGAGTTGGGAGCCCCAGTGCCACCCAGTTGCCCACAAAAACTATTGTCCAGGGCAACCTCCTCCCCTCCAGAACACCCCTCAGAAGCTGTCCTCTTGCAGGTGTAACCCGCACCCTCTCGGAAACATCCGCAGATCGTGAACCCCACGTGCAGGGCGCCAGCGCCACGCTGCAGGGTGCGGGTGCCCGTGAGCCAGCTAGCCCGCGAACGAGCACGAGCAGAGGAAGGTGGGTGCGCGAGTGGGCCCGGGAGGGAGACACCTCCGGAAAAGGGAGCCACGCTGCTGTGCTGGCAAGACCGCAGTGCCACCTCTCTGGAGAAAGTCCTCACGCCCGCGCTCGCACGCACGTGCACACGGCCAGCAGGGAGAGCGCGAGCCAGAGCTTTTCAGTGCAGGGCGCCTTAAAGCCATGGCATCTGCCCTCAACAGCAAAATCCAGCCGCCAGGAACCTGCGCGAGCTCTAAAGCCGACGCCCGCGCTGGCTCGGGCTGGAGAATGGACTGTGATCCCGAGATGCACGTGAAAATGTGCAAGAAAATCGCTCAGCTCACCAAGGTAAGGCGGGGTGCTGCGGGAGGACCAGCTGTGCCCCAGGGGCACCCGGAGTAAGGGTGGGAGTGCGGACGCACCCCAGGGGAGACCCGCACTGAATCTCGACAAACTTTGTCTCGGAGACCAAGGGAAGCTGTCCTATATCTGGGTGAAGTGACCTTCTGGATACAGCGTTTAGAAGCAGCAGACAGGATCCTTGCCAAGGAAACTCCCGCAGCCTGCTTGCTGAGCAGGTGGACTGTGCTTTCCCAAGGTTAGAGTGTGAGTGTGAGTGTGAGTGTGTGTGTGTGTATGTGTGTGTGTGTGTGTGTATTTATGCTCCCTTACCCAAGGTTAGAGTGTGAGGATGTGTATGTGTGTGTGTGAATTGTGTGTGTGTGTGTGTGAAGTGTGTGTGTGTGTGTGTGTATTTCTCCCTTACCCAAGGTTAGAGTGGGAGTGTGTGTGTGTGTGTGTGTGTGTGTGTGTGTGTGTGTGTGTGTTTATGCTCCCTTACCAGTCCTCTGTGCCCTACAGCTGGGGAGATCATGTGAGCCCTATTTAAACACGATTCATTTATTCCTTCATTCAACAAATATTTCAATCATTTGTTGAGTGCTAGCAGCCTTGTGTGGCAGTGTACTAAACCTGGAAGACAGCCCAGAGGACTTACTATAAAACTGACTGCAGGCATGTGAGCGAGCATAAATGGGAAAAATGTGGGATTCAATATATAACTGTGGGAATGGAAAAGACCTTCGGAGGTCAGCCAACGCATCTCCCTACTTTATCTCAGGGTCCTGTTTGAATCCATCGAGGCTGTGTGTCTGAGATGTTACCAATACAGGTTAATCCCTTGCAATTTCCCAATTAGGAGCAACTCCTCGAAGATTCCCTCCACTTGTCAGTAAACAGAAAACATCCCTCCCTGTCTTTCCTGATGAGTTTAAGTGGATTAAATTAGCTGTTTACTTGGGATTTTCCTTTTGGCCTCAAACTCCTAACACAATGCCTACCAGTAGAAGAGCAGCTCCAGGGGTTGTCCATGTATAATGAAGGACATGTCCTGCCCTCTTTCCTAAACATCTTCCTCGCACTTCCCACACCTGCTCTTTTGAAGATGGGTAGGCATCCTTACTGCACTGCTTTGCCAGAAAAAATACAACACAGACTTGAAACAGAACACTACGAGCTGTGTTCTCCTTTCCTGCCATTAACCTCTTCATATTCTTTGCACATGAGCCCGTCTCCAAACAGTCGCTTCTTGAAAACCTTGACTTGTAACATTATGTGTAACCCATACTTATCTAATGGCACCAATAATAAAACTTAAGTTTATTATATAAAATTCATTTAAGTACCTGGAAAGGCAATTATAGTATACGGCACCTTCCCTGTCTTCAAAATGCTAAAATGTTTTTGAAGGGAAGCAAGATTTGAAATAGCAAGAGAAATTTAAAGCACAAAACAATTGCTACGTGTGACAGTTCAAATTATGAGTTCTATGAAAGTAGAAACAAAGAGTATGACATTGTGTGCAGAAACAAGGAAATTTTTATGAAAGAAATTATCCTTGAATTGTGATAGTGATGATTTACTATCATACTAGGACTGCCTGCTGTATTTAAACTATTTAATCTTTTAAAATAGTTTTATTATTTGTATTTACGTGTACATGTCTGTCTGTATATACACTCCATTGGGTGGGTGCCTGTGGAAGCCAGAAGATGTGGGTTCCCAAGGAGCTAGAGTTACGGGTAACTGTGAGCCACCCAACGTGGCTGCTGGAATCAAACTCAGATCCCCTGGAAAAGCAGCAAGTACTGTTAACCACTGAGCCATCTCTCCTGTCCCATATACTGAATACTGGTGCCATGAAACCTAGGCACCTTCCATCCTGGCTAATAGAGTCATTTTGGGAAAGGGACTCTTACTTGAGAAAATGCCTCCATAAGATTTCCCTGTGGGCAAGTCTGTAGTGCAGTTTTTAATTACAGCTGGAGGGCCCAGCTGACGGTGGGTGGTGCCATCCCTGGACAGGTGGTCATGGGTACTGCAAGAAAGCGGTCTGGGCAAGCCAGTAAACATTCCTCCATGGCCTCTGCTTTAGTTTCTGCCTCCAAGTTCTTTCCCTGACATCCCTGGATGATGGACTACAAACTGTAAGATGGAATAAACCTTTTCTTCTTCAAGTTGCTTTTGTGATAGTGTTTTACCACAGCCGTACAATCCCTAAGACACAGCCCTTTCCTCTGTAGTGCGTCAAACAAACAGATCGTTTCAGTGTGATTGGGTAATGAGTCTATTCAGTAAGATTTATGGAATACCTATTATTTGCTAAGTCATGAAGACCCAGCAGAATAGAAGGCAGACACCATCCCTGGTACATTTCTCAGATTATATACTCCATTACAAATCATGATTTATTCTTACTGTGTAGTGCCTCTCATTACCGTTTTTCTTGCTAAGTGCTTAATGTAAAATTGTTGTTTCTTTTGCCTACTATTTGTATAGCGCTTATTTCCCACATTTGTACATTTAATATTTCCGTGAGTTTGTCTTTGATAGATGAATTTAATCCAAGGAATTACTGATATTCTTCCATCATAATTTGTGGTTTTCCTTTACCATTTTTTTCTCTTTGCTTCCTTAGCCTCTATCCCCATGTTCTGTAAGATTAGTGAAATGATTTATGTTCTATTAATAGTTTGAGTGCTCAGGGCTTTATTCAACTCAGTCTCAGAATTGTCTTTAATATTTCAACATAGTTACTTAACTATGATGTTTCTATTAAAGCTATCTAAGTGAATTTTCCAACAACAACAAAAACTTTCTTCACCTGTTAGTAAAATTCAACATGTTTTTTAGTCAGTGATCCATAAAAAAAAAAGTCTACTTGGAGAACAAGTCCATTTCTCTCTTTTTTTTCCTTTCTTTTTTTTTCCCCCCAAGTCAGGGTTTCTCTGCATAGTTTTGGTGCCTGTCCTGGATCATGCTCTATTGCCCAGGCTGGCCGTGAACTCACAGAGATCCTCCTGGCTCTTCTTCCTGAGTGCTGGGGTTAAAAGTGTGTGCCACCACCACGCGGCATGAGTCTATTTATGTACATTGGAAGTTAGTTGCTATTCACACCCCCATCACTAAGCAGCCTTTCATTCTTTTCTGTCCTTTCCCAAAAAAATGTACTTACATAATTATTTCTGTGCATATGTGTCTGAGTAAGTATATACACACATTTTGGTGCACATGCTGGTGGCCAGAAGAAAATGTGAAGTGTCCTCCTTTGTCACTCCCTGTCTATTCCCATGAGGCTAGGACTCTCCCTGAACCAAGAGACTCTAGTTTTCATATGTAGGCTAGCCTCCAGTAAAGCTCAGCTCTCCTTTTATCTCTACCCATTACAGAGCTGGTGTTACAGCTTGTGGTAGGGGTGCCAGAACTTGAACTCTGCTTCTCATGGTTGCTCAACAAACACCCTTTGCCACTGAGCCTTCTCTCCAGCCCAAATCTCCAGGTTTGTCTCTCTGGGCATTTCATATAAATGAAATCATACAATATTTAGTCCTTTATTCCTGGCTTTTCCTTTCAGGACCATTATGTTCTAGATCATCCTCTATTCATACTTTTTTTATTGTTCATGCATGTATCCCTTGCATAACTACCTCGTGTTTTATTTATCCCTTTGCCAGCTGATAATTTTGAAGTCCACTTTTGTGGCTATCATAGACAGTGTTGCTATGGACATTAAATATTCATATGCAAGTCATTATGTGCCTTTGGATACAAACTTAAAAATAAAATTGTTCATGTCTACACTAAATTTCTGTTTAACTTTCTAAGAAACTAGAAGGTTTCCCAAAGTCATTATACAATTCTACATTTTCCAGTTCACTTTCTCAGTAAAATTTCCCACTCCATACCCCTATTCCAAATTCTGAAATGACAGTCAAGTACAATTCCAGGCTTCATTTTGTACTTACCTTGCACTCTTTATGCTTATCTTTAACTTTTTAAAAATTAAAAATGTGCAGGGCGGCAGTGGCGCATGCCTTTAATCCCAGCACTCAGGAGGCAGAGCCAGGCAGATCTCTGTGAGTTCTAGGCCAGCCTGGTCTACAGAGTGAGATCCAGGACAGGAACCAAAACTACACAGAGGAACCCTGTCTCAAAAAACCAAAAAGAAAGAAAGAAAGAAAGGAAGGGAGGGAGGGAGGGAGGGAGGGAGGGAAGGAAGGAAGGAAGGAAGGAAGGAAGGAAGGAAGGAAGGAAGGAAGAAAGAAAGAAGAAAATTAAAAATGCATAAAACCTGTATGTATTTGTGAGACCCAGTGTGATGGCTCAAGTATGCAGTATGTATGGTCATCCCAGGATAGCTGGTGTCTCCACCACCCTGTTTCTTTGTGGTGAAATGATTCAAACTCTTTTCTAGCTGTTTTGAAAGACACAATTATTTGTTGTCCACCATGGTTTCCCTGTGGTTCTCTGGAACATTACAAGGCATTCCATCTACCCCAGCTGGCCCTTTCTACTCAGTACCAGCCCTCTCCTACCTCTTTACTGTCCTTTGGTGACCATTATTCATTCTACTTTGCACCTTCATGAAAACAGTTATTTCAGCTGCTACATGTAAGTAAGAACATGCAGTATTTGTCTTTCTGTGTAGAACTTCCTCCAGCTACAACAATGCCTTCAGCTCCATTCCTGATGCAGCAAATGACAGGATTTTATCCTGTTTTATGAGTGGATAGGACACTGCTGTGTATAGATAACACATTTTCATCCACCAGTGGACATCTGGGTGTATTTCATGCCTTGGCTTTTGTGAATACACAGCCATCCCTCTTTTTCCCTCCTGTATCCTTTCCTGAAATGGCTTTGTCCCTTAAAAGTGGGATCACATTTATCTTTTAAGTTCCCCTTCCTCTTAAAAAAAAAAAGCCTTTGAAAACCTTTTTATTTTAAATGTGTTTATTATATGATAATTCATTTTCCTTATCCATCTGTTTCTCTAGCAGTTGATATAG